TTGAGGTATCCCTATAGTGGAACATTCAGGCTACCTCCACTGGAACGAACTGATCAATCTGAACATCACTAAGTGTTGGAAAGTATGTAACACACAATATGATGCAATAGGAAATACACAGTACCATCTACGAGCATTCCTGCTTTTAAAAAATGCAATAGAGAGAATCAAGATGGCGGAGAAGTGAGTGGAAGTCATACTGACCTCCTCCCAGGACCAACCTGGAATTAAAATTAAATTGGGGAGAAATCACCTGGAACAAACAAATGAACAAGAGCGAGAAAGGAGCCTTGTAACCTCAGAGACGGAAGAATCAGCTTTAGTGCAATCTAACTGGTAAGGAGAGCGGTACAGACTTGAGAAAGTGGGCGGGTCACCCACGGGTGGTAGCACCTAAAGGATATTGAAACAGCCAGTGGGATCCCCCTGAGAAGAGCTGGGTCTAAACCAAAAGTGGGGATCTCTAGCCCACAGCACCAGAGCCCAAAAAGTACACAGAAAACAGCCAGCTGCTAAAAGCGGCAGGGTTGCTTTTTGCCAGAGATAGGCGGATGGAGATGGAAAGAACTGTTTAAAGGGCCAAAACTGTTTATTTGCAGCCACTTACCCTGGTCTCCGGCAAAGGCGGGGACAGAGTGGGCTAGAGACGCCTGAGGAGCGACTAGGAAAGGAGGCTTTGGGGAGAGAACTGAGAGAGGAGCCAGTGGAATCTCCGTGCTGACTCATCCCGGATGCGGTAGCAGCCATCTTGCTCAGGGAGAGACCACTCCCCCTGAGCGGCACCAACGTCAAAGGACCCAATAGCTCCATCCCCAGGTGGGATTCCACCCCACCCTGTGCTGTCTCAGCTGCCTACTGAGTGCAGAGTGAATAGATTTACAGCTAAAGGAGACAGCCACAAAAAGTAGATTCCTGGAAGTCTCCAACAGACTGCCTAAGGTCAGAGAGGGTCAACATCTGACATCATCAGAGGCAGATCCAGAAAGTAAAGACAGCTGTCTCCAACCATAGAAGTTCACACCACAATGTCAGACCAAGATAGAGCAACTTAAGAAGCAGAAGCAAAAGAGAAGAGTCTCACAAAAAATAGGAAGACAAAGAAATACGCCCCACTCGAAGGGAAAGGAGCAATCCCCACAACGAAAACTAAATGAAATAGAGGCAAGATAACCATCAGATATTGAGTTCCAAACAACGGTTCTATGGAAGCTCAATCAGCTCAGTGAGCTCAAAGAGAACTACAAAAAGCTACAGGGAAACTATGAGGAACTTACTGGAAACTATATCAGCATGAAAAAAGACATAGAAACTATCAAGAAGAGACAAGAGGAAATGAAGTATACAATTTCTGAATTGAAGAACACAGTGGAAGCAATCAAAAACAGGCTAGATAAAGCAGAGGATCAAATCAGTGAGCTGGAGGATAAGGAATAAAAAACCTCCCAGAAAGAGTAAGAAATTGTAAAAGGACTCAAAAAGAATGAAGAGGCATTGAGGGAAATGCAGGACAACCTGAAACGTAATGATATCCGTATAATAGGGATACCGGAAGGAGAAGAGGATGAGGAAGGGATAGAGGACCTGTTTGAAAAAGTAATGATGGAAGACTTCACTAAATGGAGCAGAGAAAAAGTCACACAAGTCCAGGAAGCACAGAGGGTCTCATTCAAGAGGAACCCACTGAGGCCCGCTCCAAGACACATCATCATTAAAATGGCAAATATCAAAGACAAACACAGAATCCTAAAGGAAGCAAGGGAGAAAGAGGGAGTAACATATAAGGGAGCCCCAATACGGCTAGCATCTGACTTCTCAACAGAAACCCTGCAAGCCAGAAGGGAGTGGCAAGAAATATTCTAAGTACTGAAAAGCAAAGGTCTGCAACCAAGACTGCTCTACCCAGCAAGGCTCTCAATTAAAACGGAAGGCCAAATAAGGAGCTTCCTTGGCAAAAGAAGGCTAAAAGAAGACACCTCCACCAAACCAGCACTGCAAAATATGCTAAAAGGACTGCTTTAAGATGCAGAAAAAGAATCTATGAATACCCAGTTCCTTTCAGAGTTGCCAATACTTGATATTACCAATATTTTTAATACTCATTAGTCTGATTGTGACAAGGATGTTATTTTTATTGTTCCTTTCCTATTTGTTGAAACTAAACCTGTTTTAGTATATTTCTTGCCTATTTCTATTACTTTTTTTAAAAAGGCTTTAAATGACTTTCTGGTATTCTTTTTCCATTTTTTGAGTAAATGTTTGTAGAATTTTTCCCCCCAAAAAAGCAAACAAAACTATTAACCATTTTTAAGATGTGTTGCAAATACTTTCCTATTCTATTACTTGTCCTTTAACTTTTTTTATACACATATTCTGTACAGTCTTAAATGTTTAATATAGTCATATTGTCAATATTTTACTTTATAGTTTCTGGGTTTGAATATTGTACTTCGAGGTAAGAAAAATATAATTTTGTATTTTCTCCTCAAACTCCTTAGATCCGACATTGATTTTTAACTCACCTGAATATTTTTTTGTATAATGTGTGAAATAGGGCTCTATAGTTGTTTTATTTCAAGTAATACTGGTCCATGCACCTTATTTGTTGAATAAGCCTTATTTTACCCATTGTTTTGAAATATCAACTTAATCACATATTACATTTTTAGACAGATATATACATTTGTCTCTAGAAATCTCATTATATTTCATTGATCTACTTGATAATTTCTGTGCTGGTGTCATGTTGGTTTAATTGCTGAGATGTTATAATGGTTTTAATTTTTTAAAATATTTTATTATTAAGTTTGACATTTAAAAAAATAGATAAAATCAATTTGCATTTAAGAAAGAAAGAAAAGAAAGAGAGAGAGAGAGATGGAACTCCTACCTTTTACGACAACCTGGATAGAATTGGAGAATATTAAGCTAAATGCAATAAGCCAGTTGATGAAAGACAAATACCATATGATCTCACCTGTAAGTGGACCCTATTCAACAAAATAAACTAACGAACAAAGTAAAGCGCAGGCATGGAAACATGGAGCAGACTGAAAGTGACCAGAGGGGATGGGGAAGAGGACAATGGTGGAAAGAAGGGGGAGAGACTAGCCAAAGAACATGTACGAATGACCCATGAACATGGACAACGGAGTGGGAATTGACTGTGGGAGTTGGGGGTGGGGTGGGATGGGTGGAGGGCGGTAAAGGGGGAAAAATTGAGACAACTGTAATAGAATAAACATGATTTGTAAATTAAAAAATAAATAAGTGATATAAAAATAAAAAATAAATTATTAGAAATAAAATAAATAAATATTTTTTAAAAAGAATATGGACTGGTTATTAAGGGATATCAAATAATTTTTATGAACTTTGTTTAGAAGTGGCAATGTGGTTATGTTTTAAGAAAATTTCCATATTTTCAGAAGTCACAAGTGTATAGGTTACAATGACTTGACATTTGAGATTTTCTCTATAATTTTTTTTAAAGAATTAAAGAAGAGAGTATATAAAGCAGGTATCATAAAGTGTTGATAATTTTTGAATCTAAGAAATAAGTATTTGGAGATTTGCCATATCATTTTCTGTGCATTTAAAAATAATTGAAAATACACCCCCTAAAAATGACAAATGGGAAGGACCAATGGGGGGATTATGCTAAAAGGATATAAACAGGTGCTTCAAGAAGAGATACAAATATACAATAAGCATTGGAAAAGATATACAGCTTTACTGGTAGTTGGAGAAATGCAAATTAAAACAATAAAGAAACACTTTTTATTCCAAACGTTGGCGAAAAAAAAAAAAGAAAAGATTGGTCAGATCAGATCAGTACCATCTAATTCTCATCACTTCTGGGGTAGGGGCACAAATCACCTCCCAGAATTTATTAAGTAAAGTATTAAGTATTTATTAAGAGTAAACATGATATCAGACACAGCAATATTCTGTAGAAATAATACCAGTAATTAATGATCTGTACATGAGTACATCTGAAGCAGCGCTTTTTGTATTATCAAAAAGAAAAAAGTTGATTTAAAAAAAGTTAAAAACAACCAGAATTATCATAGAAGAATGGTTAAATTATAGTTCATCCATATTAGGGGACGTTATGTTGTTTAAAATTTTTTTAAATAACTTTTTTTCTAAAATCAAATAGTGTATGTTTAATAGTATAAAATTTAGAAAGTACAAATAAGAAATAAGGGGAAAAATCATAATTCTAGACCTGGAGAGATTATCTTGGAATACATCATTTCAAGTGTTTCTCAGTGTGTGTGAATGTGTGTGTGTGTGTATGCATGCATATGTATGTATTCTTGTTTTTCCAATATTTGGTTTTCAAATAAAAAAGGTATCATGTTACAGGGTATGTTGTAACCTCTTATTTTCTTCATTCCCTCATGAATATTTTCCACATCACTATTCACTCTGTAGCTTAACCAATCCCTATGTTGAGGCATTTAAGTGCATTCCAATTTCTCATTTCATAAACGGCTTGTATCCAGGCTTGCAAACTTTGAAGATGATTTGCCAATTGCCTTCCAGAAAGTTCTGGGTGCTTCCAGAGACATTTGAGCCAGAGTAGTCAGAATGTTGTCCCATTACGCGAGCCTGCAATCTACCCAGATAGCAGAGGGGGCTGTGGTCTTTAGAACTTGTAAGGCTTGTCTTATCCTGCTCTTTAGTCATGCAGGCCAACTGAGACTCCCTTCCAGAAATCCCTACACCCTCTCCCTCTCCTTGCCTCATTCCCGCTCCTCCCCACGCACTCACCCTCCTCTCTCCACGCTTTCCCGCTCGGTGTTCTGGCCTATGGCAGACGCCAAGAATTAATTAGGGGCGGGGATCAAGAAGCGGCTGTCAGGAGGTCGCCATATTTCTGTACGGCTCAGAGGACTGCCGGGCAAACCGTGGGTCTTGAGAGGTGCTAACAGGGCGGGGCCGCGGTTCAGCTCTGCCGGCCTCACCCCTCCCGCCTGGGACAGGTGGCTGGAGCGCGCCCCGCCCCCGCCAGCTGCGGGTGGGAGCTAGGGAGGGCCAGCCCGGCCGGGACAGCGGCTGCCAGCTGCGAGTGGGAGTGAGTGAACTCCAGCCCGGGACGGCAGGGCGAGTAGTCCAGAGGCAGCAATCGAGTATCGTGGCGGCCAAAAAAATGCTCCTGTACCGAGGGGCCCCTGCGGGGCCTGGCGCGCCAGGCAGCGGGCTAGCACGACAGGGCAGCGGCCCGCAGGCGTTTGGGATACGCCTGAGTACGGTAGGTCAGGGACCCCACGGGGCGGACGCACGCGCGGCCTGGGGATGCAGGAGGTGGGGGGTGCGCCGGGAGGACCGGGTGGGCCGAGGCCTCACGCGGGACGGGGCCTTCTCTCGCCCCCAGATGAGCCCCCGCTACCTACAGAGCAACTCCAGCAGCCACACGCGACCCTTCAGTGCCATCGCTGAGCTGCTAGGTGAGTGGCGAGGGTGGGCCTGGCCGCATCGCCTAAGGCAGTGGTGCCAACGTGGTGCCATAGACGCGAGAGGAATGTGTGGAATCGTGCAGGGTGGGCTGCGGCTGGGTGGGGGCTTCGGGACTGGTCCCCGCTCCGCAGACGGAGGAGGGGGACGGCTCTCTATCCCGGGATGAGTTTCCGGGAATAAAGTTGAGGTAACAAGGTGTGCCCAAATAGAACTCCTGGGAGGTTTTCCTCTCTGGCTCGTGATGTTCCAGGAACTTTAGGATAGCTTAGTTAATAATCGAAAGGACATGGGGCCCCTAGGCAGCTGGGCTCCACAGGGACTGGCCGCCGATGAAAGACGCCAAGCTACCAGAGGGGCACTGTAGAGAACACAGTAGGGTCATGAAGAAAGGTCTGGAAAACGGAGTTCTTTACCTTTGGGGACCAGAAGATCTGGGAATGATGGGACATCTCTTAAGAGATGACACGAATGCACTTGGCTCTGTGTGAATGCGGAGGGATGGGTACGTGGCCCACGAGCGCCCTCACACCGCTGGAATGAATACTGAGCACTTAACCTCTCCTCTCATTCCACCGATGTTTGCTTTTAAAGCATTTCTAGTTGATCCCTTGAAAGCAAGTACACCAGCTGTTATAGTAGTGTGCTTAAATACTATGTGGAAAGCAAAGAAGAAAAGCATCCTTGGATAAAATGCATCATGGTATAGAGCACACTGTAAATGTTACAAAAAACACTTAAAGGAGGGAGAGATATTTATGGGGCAAGGTTTGGTTTCAGAGCTCCCCAAATGAGCCCCATTTCCTACTTAAGCAATCTCTGTGGCCATGCAGTGTGAGTTGTACTGGGCAAAAAATCAATGGGCAGCAGGAGGAGATGGTCAGGAGAGTTATTTGGAAGGGTGGCAGGGAACTTTGATGATTAGTTTGACCATAAAACAGGATGCTTACAAGGTGAAGCGAAAAAAGTGACAGTGACACATTTTGAACCCTAGAGAACAGGGATCTTTAAAGTTTTGCACCATGTATTGATTGAAACTGCACAGTGGAACAGGATCTATGTGCATGTAACTCAAAAAAAAAAAAAAGAAAAAAAGAAGAAAAAATAAGAATTGGCTTAGTGTAGAATGGGAGACAAATATGTTTTTCATTCAGCTCTATTCATAGTGAAGCTGTGCAAAACCATCTGTATCTACTATGTACTGAACTTTATGGGTGATTTGTAATTTTGTATGCATATGATTTTTGTTTTAAGCATTAATTTAACATAAGCCTGGCCTAAGATGTCCCACATGAGTACACATTTTTATGAGTATTATATATATATACACACACATGCCTACATACATATATACAAACACAGAGATTTCAAAACCAAATCACTATTTGTGGTCATATTAATAATAGGGGAGAGGGAGAGCAAAGTGTTAACTAGTAATCCAAAAGTTTCATTGTAGATTTTCCTTCAACAGTCTTCTCCCCGACCTGTGCATTTATTTTCTAGTGAATCATCCATTTGGTATTTATTGAGTACTCACTGTGGGCAAGGCCACCATAGTAGGTACAAAAATGTACTCCTCTAGTAAGGGATATTAAGTATGTACAAATGGTTTATGACTTGTGTTACGACAAAATAAACAGTGATGTATCAGTAAAGATATACACATTGATTGCTGTGGGAGTTCAGTTGAGAGAAGGATGACTTCCAGCTTACCAGGAAGAGGAGGGTTAGGAAAAGCTTTGTAGACATGACATTTGAGCTGAGATTTGAAGGATTGGGACATGTGGACATGGGTGTGGGGCGGGGAGGGCATTCCAGGCAAAAGTAACAACTGCATGAACAAAGGCAAGAAGAACACTGAGTAATTGAGTTTAACAATAGCATGAAGTCCACAGATAGTCAAAACTCTAGGTCCTTAGGAAGTTTACAAAGAACTTTCAATAATACATTTTTAACTTTACCCTTTGAGGTAAGTGGTATTGTTGTTGTTGCTGTTGTTATTCCCATCCCACAGATGAGGATACAGCAGTTCAAAGCATTTAATTGATTTTTCCAGGGTTACATGGGTTACATGTGTAGTAAGTGGCAGATCCAGGTCTTTTTTACTTCAAGGACCAAGTAGAAAGTGAGGTTAGAAAGGCCTGGTGGGACCAGGATGTGACTGGGAGGCTTGGATATTTGGCCTTTTAGTTTGAAGTTTTTGGAGCAGGGAATGTCATGATGTGAGCTGTGCTTCAGGAGTTAATCTTGCAGCAGCATATAAATGGATTGGCAAAGACAGAGAGATGGCTTTAAAAGACTACTGAGGAGTTCATCTCAGTAATCTACATGAGAGGGAATAAACTCTGTAAACTAATAAAGTGACAATGGGAATAAAAATAGCAAGTTTGAGAGGGCTTAGTGGTGTATAGGATAAGGGAGAGGGAGGGATAAAAATGACTTGAATTTCAAACTTGTGGTCATTTGAATTCTGATACTGTGTGTGTGTGTGTGTGTGTGTGTGTGTGTGTGTGTCACAGGAAGAAGAATTGCTTCTGTCAAAAGATGATGACATTAATTTTAGATGAGAGAATACTTTTAGACACTTGCAGGATTTCTGTAGGGCAGCAGCTTCACCCTGGAAACTTTCAGGAATCCACATAGGCCATCCTTCTGGGACAGGAGAGGATGGGAAACTTGTGAAGCACTACCTCAAAGCCATTTCCCCAAGGGGAATAAATGGGGATGGAAGGAGACTTTACTTGGGGTGGTCAACACCCAGTACAATATACAGATGATATATTACAGAATTATACACGTGAAACCCATATCATTTTATTTACCAATGTCACACCAATCGATTCAGTTTTTAAAAACAAAAAAAGAAAAACCATCTCCCCACTCATCAGCCTGTCTCTTGAGGGAGGCTGTCATTGCCTTCCAGGTTCTAGTAAGGAATGAGGCTTCAGTTACAATGCTTTTTTAGAAGATCAGGGATTGGATGGACCAGGTTAGGGAATAAGATAGATTGCCTGCAGTCTGGTTTTCATGCTTTTGCCTAAGTGGTAGGTAAGGAGAGAGGTAAAGAACTGTCTTCCTAATAAGGGTAGAATGGGCCAGGTTAGAACAGGCAAGACCCCCTGGAATCTGGTAGCCCATGAGATTTTGTGGGCCAGATTATGGGATAAAGACATCTCAGGATCTGCTAGTGCAGCTCTTGCCTAAGTAGTGGGTAAGAGGAGAGGAGAGGAGTAGGAATTCTCTCATTGTCTCACCTGCTCATAAGGCTAGGTGGGTTGGGCCGTGGTTGAAAATAGATTCCCTAGGATCTGTCAGCAAAAATTTTTGGAAGGTAAAACAGCAAGAGGTAGGACTGAAATCAGCCATAAGATTGGTGCTTTATTATTTTAAGTTCATTTGTTGAGGCTCATCTTGTTATTATTATAATTTCATTCATTGAGGTCAAGCAAAAGGCCACTTAAAACTAAAAGTAAGTACAAAACTGAACAGCTGTGACTGCCTCTCTGATCTCTTCCCTACTGCTTCAGTCGACCCTGGCCTCTTGCATGCCCTCTCCTCCCCTACTCCATCAGCTTCCAGGCAAGGAAACAAACTATCTAGCTGTTCCTGCTAGCTACTTTGTACTCCTGAAGTGCCTTTGTTGAAAACTGGTGTGTTCCTGGAAAGGAGCACCTAGTAAAGTTTAGGCAGCATTTGCAGTAAAGAGGGAAAAAGTAAAAGTGATTTTATGAGAGGGCTGCAAGCTGATTCATTGAATGCACTGCTGTGTGAACACGGAATTGGAATTGATATGTTATGCGTTTGAATCATGAATATTCATAAAGCGTTAGAAAAAAATTCTCTACATGCAAAGTTTTTAAAGTAGACATGATATCCTGTTGGTTGACAAGGTAAAGGTATCATTCTTAATGGCCCTGGCTTTCTGCCAGCTGGAGTGACTGATAGGTCCTAAAACAATTCAAGGCCTGCTTGCCAAGTAGTTTCTTGAAACAATGTAGGCAACTTCAGAATGCCTAATCCTTCTGTCAGTGAAAGGAAAAAACTGCTGCCTCCTATACAAAGTAAAATGTGTGTTTCTGATAAAGCCACTCTTGCATGTCAAATTTATAATTCCTGCCAAAGTTGGCCTACTTGATCTGCCACATAATACAGGGTTTTGGAGCCATCTAGTACTTAAAGATTGACTCCATCAGACCTCTTAATCCCCTTCTGGGACTCTTTCTGATGCCGTAGTGCTGTTACGACTCTTTCAGGTTACAATCAGTGACAGTTTTATCACTGATTCTAGCAACATTATTGTGACCCTTGGAATTAATCTGTGTCTTCTTTTATTTGATGGACATTCCATACATACAAGTGGTTATAATTGATACTGTTAACTGTATTGTAAAAATTGATATTTTGAATATGTGTAATACTTCTCTTGCTTGTTAAGGATGTTCCCAGTGGAGAAACGCCACAATTTGAATACTGGTAATTGGACCAGTATACAGCCAGCCCCACACTGGATCTCTCAGCCCAGCCACATGATAACAGCAAAGCAGTATAGCATGCTAGGGAAAGGGAATTGGATGGAATGGAAGGTCTCAGTCTTGACTAAAGAACTAGTAGAGACCGGAGTGCTTAAGGAAACAATCCAATAGATTGCATGAATTGCCCTCCCACTCAGGCCAGCGAGTCCTAATGAGACAGTTGTACTGCATGTGTCAGTGACTGACAATTGTATAAACTGGGACCTGTGGCAAAAATATGTGGCCACTAGACAGACTCCCCCTGGGGTTGTGAACATTGCACGTATCTTAGAATATGGCTGTAGTTGATGTCTTTGGAGTCTTAAACAATTAACCTATTATGAAGAACTAGCTGAGGAGGAACTGTGAAACATTCTCTCTCTATTTTTTTTTTTGTTTTTTACTTTAATCTTATGTTCTCCATTTAATGAGGGTTGGACGGCCTCACCTTTAAGACTATTACAGAGTACCTAGGCAGAATCACTCTTTCTAAGCAAGCTTGTTACTATCACTTGGATCTAAACAGGCAATTAAATGTTTTGATTTTAACCTCTAACTCTTTTAGTCCATCCAAGGCTATAAACAGGGATGGTGATAATATCTGTGTTATTTTTTTAAAATTATATTTATTTTTTGAGGGCGGGAAAGAGAGGGAGAGAAACATTGACCTATTGTCTCTCACATCCTACCAACTGGGAACTTGGCCAGAAACCCAGGCATGTGCCCTGATTGGGAACTGAACCAGTGACTCTTTGGTTTGCAGGCCAGTGCCCAGTCCATTGAGCTGCACCAGCCATGGCACTGTGCTCTTTAACACAGGAGGTGATGTAAAAAAGTATAAAATATATTTTTCACAAGTAAACTGTAATGTGTGTAATATGCATCTATATGTACCAAAATTGTGATGTAGCTCTTCTCCAGAGACGCCCTTTACTGTGTGTATTAATGAGCAGTAAAGTGGTTAAAAGACAGGGAGTAATATGACGAAAACTGAGCAAAATGCTTTGTATGTAGGAAGAGTTATTTTTCTCACAGACCTTGACGATAGAAAGAAGAAAAGCAGATTGCAGATCAGGCATTAAAATCAGCTTATAACCACATCTGCTGTCATATCTCTTGTTCCCTATATCCTAGTATGTGTACTACCACCAAGGCTTCCTGATCACCTTGCGGGACATCCATATGAAAGGAATAAAGGACATTTTCTATGTTTTAGGGGCACTGAACTAGAGATTTAAATAGAATATTAGAAAAAGGGATATAATATCACAGATTTCTACCTGTTGCAGATAATGCTGTAGATCCAGATGTATCTGCCAGGACGCTCTTTATAGATGTTGAGGAGGTCAAGAATAAATTTTGTTTAACCTTTACTGATGATGGATGTGGAATGACGCCTCATAAATTACACCGAATGCTCAGGTAAAAATGTCTTCATTCTTTGCCTCTTGTCTTGAGTTCATGAACTGTAGTTAAGGCTTAATGATTTTCTTTAATATTTTACTTTCCCTTTATTCATTCAACAAATAATTATTGAGCATCTATTATGTGCCAGGGTACTGGTTATAAAATGGACACTGTTTTTGCCCTCACAGAATGTACAGCCTTGCTGGCAATTCAGACAATTAAGCAGTAATCATAATAAAAATGATAAGTATAGTAATAGTAAAGTATAGGATGCAATGGGACAAGTCAGCAGGGGAACCCGATCTAAACCAGGAAGTTAGGAAAAGCATCATAGATGAAGTGATATTTAAGCTGAGATCTAAGGGTGAGTAGTAAAATTTAACAAGGTAAAGGAACAAGGGGCAATTGATGAGAGTTCAGGCAAGGAGAAGAACAAGTGTAAAGATGTGAAGGCCATCACTGGTCTGAGACCCTTATCTAATTTATATTCACTTACATTTACTCTTAGATCAGAAGTATTGGAATTGGGATGATCTTTGGATTAAAATTATGAATGTGCCTTGGTATAATTGAGCCATGTGAAAGATAAATAGAAGGCATTTATACTTGCAATCTTTGAAAGTTTTGCAGTAGAATTTCAAAGTCCGGAAATTCTCTTTTCTAGCTGCTGAAGCTGGTGATATAGATTTTTATTGCCACTCTCAGTTCATCTAATCACTTGAAAAGGTTTGGAGTTGAGAATGTAAGTTTATACTTCATTGTATTCACATATCACTCAGCGAAAAATGAGTATTTTCTTAACTCTTTCCTCCTTTCTTCCTTTTTTAGCAGATGAGATTGATTACTTTCAATATGGCTTCCTGAGCTAGTACGTGAAGAATGAGTAACAATGGAGGGCTTCAATGGAGGAAGGAAAGGGCTTCAAACTATAGGAAAAGAAAACATTAATTTTGTTGTAGTTCTCTTTGTAGGTATTCTATTTCTGTAACCCTGTTTGTAGGAAAAAAACTCTTTGATGCATCAAAGAAATGAAATGAAATTTCAGCATAACCAATTATAAATTTGTTATTTTTTAAATTTTTCTAATACATTTGTCTCCATTTATCCTCCACCACCCTCCCCTGCCAGACCCATCCCCACCTTGCCTTAGGCAATGTGTCCTTTGTGTCCTTCACACCTGTTCCTTGATCCGGCCTTTCCCCTTCCCCTCTCTGCTACACCCCTCCCTCCCTCCTGTCCCCCTCGAATTCTTATTTCTTTCAATGTTACTGGTCATATTTTCCTTGCCTGCTTGCTTTGCTGATTAGGTTCTACTTAAAAGTGAGATCATATTGTATTTGTCTTTCACCAACTGGCGTATTTCACTTAGCATATCTCTCTCCAGTTCCATCCATGCTGATGCAAAGGGTAGTAGCTCTTTCTTTCTGATGCATAGTATTCCATTATGAAAATGTACCATAGCTTTTTGATCCACTCATTTACCGATGGGCACTTAGGTTGCTTCCAGCATTTGGCAAAGGCAAATTGTGCTGCTATAAACGTGCATAGATTCTTTTGAATTGGTGTTTTGGGATTCTTAGGGTATAATCCCAGCAGTGGATTGCTGGGTCAAAAGGCAATTTCATTTTGAGCTTTTTGAGGAAATTCTAAACTGTTTTCCACAGTGGAAGCACTACCTGCACTCCCATAAGCAGTGTACTAGGGTTCCTTTTCCTCCACAACCTCACCAGCACCCGTTGTTTGTTAATTTATTTATGAGGGCCATTCTGATTGGTGTGAAGTGATATCTCATTGTGGTTTTAATTTGCATTTCTCTGATGCCTAATGATGATGAGCATCCTTTCATATGTCTCTGGACCTTGTGTATGTCCTCCTTGGAGAAGTGTCTGTTCAGGCCCTTTGCCCATTTTTTAATGGAATTGTTTGTCTTCCTGGAGTGGAGTTGTGTGTGTTCTTTATATATTTTGAAGATCAAATCCCTGTCTGAGGTATCAGGGCAAATATATTTTCCCATAAGGTTGGCTCCCTTTTCATTTTGCTGATATTTTATTTAGCCATGCAGAAGCTTCTTATTTTGCTAAAGTCCCATTTGTTTATTCTTTCCTTTACATCCATTGCTCTAGGGGACACATCGGTGAAAATATTGCTGCATAGAATATCTGAGAGTTTCCTGCCTATGTTCCCCTCTAGGACTTTTATGGTGTCATGACTTACATTTCAGTTTTTTATCCATCTTGAGTTTATTTTTGTGTATTGTGTAAAGTGGTGGTCGAATTTCAATTTTTTTGGATGTAATGTCCAGCTCTCCCAATACAATTTGTTGAAGAAGCTATTATTACTGCATTTTATGCTTCTGCACCCTTTGTTGAATATTAATTGACCATAGAGATGTGGGTTTATTTCTGGACTCTCTATTATATTCCATTGATCTATGTGTCTGTTCTTTTGCCAATACCAGAAAATTTTGATTACAGTGGCCTTGTAATATAGTTTGATATCAAGTATTGTGATCCTTTCTAATTTGTTTTTCTTTCTCAGAATTACTGCAGCTGTTTGGGGTCTTTTTTGTTCCATATACTTTTTTTAAATGTTTGTTCTGTGTCTGTGAAATATATCACTGGTGTTTTAATAGGGATTGCATTGAATCTATAAATTGCTTTGGTTAGTATGGACATTTTGATGATGTTAATTCTTCCAACCCATGAACATGGTATATGCTTCCATTTATTTGTGTCTTCCTTAATTTCTTTCTTCAGCGTTGTGTAGTTTTCTGAGTACAGGTCTTTTACCTCCTTGGTTAAGTTTATTACTAGGTACTTAATTTTTTTTGCTGCTATAGCAAAGATGTTTTTTTTCTGATTTATGATTCTGATATTTCATTTTTGGTATACAAAAATGTCTTTGATTTCTGAATATTGACTTTGTATCCTGCTGTTTTGCCAAATTGACTTACTAGATCAAGTAGTTTTTTGGTGGAGTCTATGGGGTTTTCCTATATACACTATCATGTTAACTGCAAACATTGATAGTTTTACTTCCTCCTTTCCAATTTGGATGCCTTTTATTTCTTTTTCTTGTCTAATCGCTATGGCTAGGACTTCCAATACTATGTTGAATTGAAGTGGTGAAAGCAGACATCGTAGTCTTGTTCCTGATCTTATTGGGAAGCTTTTCGGTTTTGCCCATTGAGTATGAGGCTGGCTGTAGGTTTTTCCATATATGGCCTTTATTATGTTCAGGTATGCCCCCGTTATTCCCACTGTGCTCATTGTTTTTATCATAAATGGATGCTGTACCTTATCAAATGCTTTTTCCAAATCTATTGATATGATCGTGTGTTTTTTGTCTTTCTTTTTGTTTATATGATGTATTACGTTTATTGATTTGCAAATATTGAACCATCCTCGCATCTCTGGGATGAATCCCAATTGATCATGGGATACAATGTTTTTCATGTATTGTTGGATGTGGTTTGCCAATATTTTGTTGAGGATTTTAGCATCTATGTTCATCAGCAATATTGGCCTGTAGTGTTCTTTCTTTGTTGAGTCTTTATTTGGTTTTGGGATTATGATGACGTTAGCCTCATAAAAACAGTTTGGGCGTCTTCCCTTTTCTTGGATTTTTTTGGAATGGTCTGAGAAGAACAGGGTTTAGCTCTTCCTTAAATGTTTTGTGAAATTCTCCTGTGAAACTATCTGGTTCAGGGCTTTTGTGTGGTGGGTGTTTTTAGATTACTGCTTCAATTTCACCAGGTGTTATTGGTGTGTTCAGGCTTTCAGCTTCTTCATTCATTGATTGAAAATTATATTTTTCTAGAAATTTGTCCATTTCATCGAGGTTTTCAAATTTCTTGGCATATAATTGTTCAATGTAATTTTTTACAATCCTTTGTATTTCTGTGGAATCAGTTGTTATTTCTCCTCTTTCATTTCTGATATCATTTATTTGGGTCCTCTCCCTTTTTTTCTTGATAAGTCTACTTAAAGGCTTGTCGATTTTATTTATCTTTCAAAGAACCTGCTCCTGGATTGGTTGATCCTTTGAATTGTTCTTTTCTTCTCAATGTCATTCAGTTTTGTTCTGATCTTGATTATTTCCCTACTACTACTTGCTCTGGGATTTATTTGCTATTGTTCCTCCAGTTCTTGAAGTTGTAGTGTTAGGTCATTTATTTGAAATGTTTCTATCCTTTTTAGGTTGGCCTGTGTTGCTATGAACTTCCCTCTCAGGACTGCCTTTGCTTTGTTCCATAGGTTTTGGACTGTTGTGTGTTCATTTTCATTTGTTTCCAGAAGATTTTTGATTTCATCCTTGATCTCAGTATTGACCCATTCATTGCTTAATAGTGTACTATTCAGTCTCCATGAGTTTGAATGTTTTTGAGTTTTTTCCTTGAGGATAGTTTCCAGTTTCCAGCCCTTGTGGTCCTAGAATATGCTTGTTATGATTTCTGTTTTCCTGAATTTTTTGAGGCTTTTTTTGTGTCCTGTCATGTGGTCTATCTTTGATAATGTCCCGTGTACATTTGAAATGAATGTGTATTTCTTCGAGATGAAAGGTTCCATGTATGTCCGTTAAGTCCATTTGATCTAATGAATTGTTCAGTTTCATAATATCCTTGTTGATGTTTTGTATGGAAGTTCTATCCATTTTTGACAGTGGAATATTAAAATCCCCTACTATCAGTGTGTTACTGTCTATATCTTTTTTTGAAATCCTCCAAGATTTTACTTATATATATTTGGGTGCCCCTGTGTTGGGGGCATTAGGTTCAATGTTTATGTCTTCTTGATGGATTGTTCTTTTGAGTATTATGAAGTGTCCTTCTGTTTCTCGTTTTATGGCTCTTTTTTTTTTTTGATGTCTCTTTTGTCTGATAAAAGTATTGCTACACCTGCTTTTTTTTTTCCTGTCCATTTGCTTGGATTATTTTTTTTCCATCCCTTATTTTCCATCTGTGTAGGCCCTTTGTTCTGAGGTGAGTCTCTTATAGGCAGCATATGTATGTGCAG